AAAAAAAAAAAAAAAAATAGAGTAGAATTGCAGACATCAGCAGCTCCTTTGGTGATGTTGGCACTGTTGATGCTTTCATCAGTGTATGTTACATTATGCTTCTCCTGCAGGAGTCTGAAACCTCTGCTGTCAGCAGAGATACTCTCTCCCCTCTCTCGTTTCTGCAAAGATCTCGTCTCAGGCCAAGTGTGGCATGTCCCACTTGTCTTACACTGAAATAGTGATAAATCAATCAGCTTGTTTGTTCAGCAATCAATTTCTCCTTCTCCAAAAGCCATTCACCATCATACTCTCAGATTTAGGTTGATGGCCCCAACGTAGATTTACAGAAATAATAAGCGATGTCACGCATGCCACGATTAACTTTCCCCCATGTAGGGAATCATTTTACTTCTCTCTTCACTTCCTCATCACCCAAACTAGTCGAGACAGATGGCCACGCCCCTCAGCTGGGTATTGTCAGGCTTCTTCTCACTACTGTCACCAAGTCCTTGCTCATAGGAATTTGTTGCATGACCTTTTACATTAGTTAAATGATTTTGAATTTCCCTTCCAAAGTCATGGCCTCCTCTCCTCACTTTACCTCAGAGCTTTCACAACCAGACTGGGGAATTTAGTTTTCTCTTGTGAACTTTGTAATTAAGGAGGAGGCACTGGTCATCACTAAAGCCACCTGTGGGAATGAGCCAGCAAGTTGTTTCCCTTTTTGCTTCGCTGGCTGCACTGCCACCTACAGCCCAGGAGTCCGGAGTTGGAGGGTGTAGTAGTTTTTTGTGTATATGAGTGGGGCCGTGATGTTCTAAACTTGACTTGCTCAGTAACCAGATTAAAGCAATAGTTATTTTTATGCTATGTGGCTTTACTGATCCGTATTGCCCTCTCCCAGGAACTTCTTGTGGGGTGTGGTAAATCTCGATAAATGTGCAGTGTGAGATCTCACCCTCTCATCCCTTGACTCTTAAAGGCGATGCACTCTTTTTAATGCTCATTTTCATTAATTTAGCAATCCTGCACAAACAAAGCCTTTGGAAACTTTCTCAAGAAGTCATTGTCCAAACATGGATTTTTCACTTCACTGATATTTTTTATTGTTTTTAATGGATTTACTGAAGTGCACATCCAAGAGATGCCCGGCTCTAATGAAATCACAATCATCATCAACTTCTTTTTTTACCTTTTAAAGTGTACGTTTTGCATTGATACTAGGCTGTCTTTATTCCAGTGGTTCCTAAGATTGTCTTGTGTTGCACATAGCAGATGTCACATTTATTTCATACTGACCTTTAAATAGGAATCACAGTACAGTAGTTTATTTTTTTAATGAAGGGAATAGGTTTAAAGTATCGTTGTTGGGGTTTTGTGGCGAGAGGAAAAAAAAACTGACTTGCGTTTCTAAATCTGTTTACAAATTAGCCGACATAAATGCTGCAGTTTCTTCCTTTTGTCTTTCTTACAGGAGAAAAAAAAAGAATCAAAAAAGGGTGTAATTAAAAATAAGTGCAATTAGACCATACATAAAATCGTAATCAGACGACATTCCTCATTCAGACATTCCCATCAAAAAGTACTTCTTTTGCCATAGATATCTGGACTTACCTTTGGCAAGTTACTTAGGAATATTTCATCTTTTAAATTCGACGTGCTCAGACAGCAGCATCAGTTGTGTGGTTGTTATTGTCATGTGTGCTGTTATGGACTAGTTTGTTTGTGAGGTCCAGACACTGTTGTGTGTTTCCCTTATATCCTCGTGATTCACTGAACTTCTATCAGCAGATAGAAGGGGTCATGAGATTGAGCCTGAGCAGTTTTAAAGGATGGGTTCACATTTTTCTTTCTCTCACGCACACATATTACTTATTCCTCCTATCCATTCTTGCTTGTATAAAGATTCCCTCTCAAAGCTACAGCGGTCTTTCAATGCAGTGTTGTGGAATAGTAATATTGGGCTTCAGGAGTCATATGGCAAAGTCGCACATTAAAATAACTTTTAGACGTTTAAAATGTAACAGTCGTGCCATATCTATAAAAATAATACTTTAGTTTATTGCGTGTGCAGTTTCTTTCCAAAAAGTATTAACAATTGTAGGGATGTGGAAAACAAAATCTGTAACTATAACTGTTAGACAGTTATTTGATATTTTCAAGTGTGTATTAATAATATGTCAGTATTTCTTTTCTTTCTTTAAAAAAAAAAAAAATCATGGTTATCCTAACACCCGCATATCATGCTTGTTGGAGATACACATTGTGATTTGTGAAAGTCAGACTCCTGAAGACGTCAAGTTGTGGAGAATGATGAAAGAGTGAGACTGTGGGTGCATGCGGTAGAGATGAGCGTCTTCTAAAGAGTGCTGGGGCTCAGCCTTTAGAGACAGGGTGAGGAGTTTGGTTTTTAGAAAGGGCACAGAGTAGAGCTGCTACTCATCGACGCTGAAAGGACGAAGTTCAGGTTGTTCGGACATGTGGTCAAGGTGTCTCCTGCATTCTTGGTAAGGTCCAGGTGTGTCCTACTCGGAAAACCCTTACTGTCCTTCCAGAAGAGCTGGCCATGGAGAGCCAAGTCTGGATGTCTCTGTTTCGCCTGCTGCCCTCACACCCCACTTAAGTGTCAGTGTAGGCCTGAAATGAACCTTTTTACAGCCGGTGTGGACAGGAGGAAAGATTTCAACTAATAACTGTCAAACTTGATATGGACAGGTTAGTCAAACTAGCAAACATGTGAACCCAGACTTCTTTTTTTTTTATATCTGATCATCTGATTGGAGTTTTTCATCCTGTAAGCAATATACACAATACCTGAAAACATTTCACGTAGTCTTCTCTATGCAGTAACCTCAGTATTGTACCCTTCATTGTCTTAACTCTGAAGCAGCGGGGCAGGTCGGCGGATGCAGTCGTTCCACGCTGATTTTTGCTTTAAATTACTCTTCTAATAGGAATCTAAGCAGTGTTTTGCTTTACCACTTTGTATTTTATGCTCAGTGATTCTCATCGATGTTTATTGTCCTGCGACGCCACACACTTTGCCAAATAGCAATGCATTCGTCCTGCATTACCATGGCGCGATTGCTGCTTCTGCATTATGTGTAAGGTCAGGATTCAATTGACGACATTTAAATGGTGCGAGCAGTGCCACCTGTGACTTTTTTCTTTTCCCCCTCTGCTTTTGGGAAGTATCCACTCAAATAAAGATGTCTAATGATCCACATCACTGATCGTCTGTTGCTGTAAGTAATTGCACTAAATGTCCTCCTTTACAGTGTTTGAAATCTGTTGGTAGTTTGAAGAGTTTCAAAATGTAAAGCACACAAAAAAATCACGGAGAAATCACAGGTTGTGCGTTTCTGTAGATAGCTGTATTTTTTGTATAGATAGCTTCGATGATGCTTGTCGTTAATGCCTTAAATTCTGCTTTGTACAATATGTGAAATTGAAACGATGCTCCAGGTAGGCTCAGCGTCCCAGTTTCAGGTTGAATAAGAGTGAATCAGAAATGACAAACATTCATATTTAGATGTCTCAAAGGTTGACTGTGGGCTTTCTTTGGGACATGAACTCTGCAACGTTTTGGTTTGGTTTCATTTTTCTTTTTAAACACATTTCTTATTCCGTTTTTAATAGATTCTTTAGGCTCATATTTAACATTCAGATCCTTTTTTTTTTTTTTTCCAGTATGTGGGAATGGAAAGGAGGCTTTTCTCTGCACTTTTTTGTACACAAGACAGCAAAAGGAGGGCAATCTATTAATTCCTCACATGCATAGACAGATGCACAGTTGTTTTTATTGTTGTTGCACAGAATTTGTAGGTTTTTTTTTTTTCTTTCCTCCTTAGAAATTAATGGGTGGTGTTTGGTGTTTTGTGCTCTGACAGTCTGAACAGCAGAGGCGGGTTTGGATAAGCGAGAAAGGCTGCATAAAGCCAAAACTTTTCTATCGGTGGTAATGTGACTATTTTTTTTTTCCTCTTCAATGTTTTGTGGCGTTGCTCGATGGGATTTCTATGTGAACTACTTCCTGTTGATCCAGTATTGCAAAGGTGAATTTAGGACGGTTTTGGTGCCGCTGATGTCGAATTAAATCAGGAGAAATGAGAACGGTTAAAAGTTTTAAAAAGTCTGTGTATTTTCAGATATGACTTTGTACTATTTTTTTTTTCCCTTCTGCACACGGTGACACTGCTTTTTATGTGACGCATAACTAAAAACAAAACAAAAAACAGCATCTTTTTAAATGCCTAAATCTGCAAAATATATGCAATTATGTAAAATGTAACATTCAATCCTCAAGTATAATCCAGGTTGTATGAACTTTGTATAGTGAGTTTTAATATCGTATGGCCGTACCAATATGTATTGATCTTAATCAGAAGCCTTAGAGTTGTCGACCCAAAGTGCTCCCTTAGAATATCCTACACCTACCTGACTTTAACAAAGCATTACTATCTCTATTTTGTTGCGTTTTTATTTGTATCCTTTTTGAATAAAATAGATTTGTACTGTATATTTGTACCTCTCTGTGAACTACTTAGAGCGGTTTTTTTGTTTGTTTGTTTTGATTTGTTTTGCTGTTTTAATTCTATGTACTTTAAGGACACAAAGATATTGTATTTTTATTGTTACAGCTAACTTGGAGACATTGCATTTATCATGTTTGTTAAGTAAACACAATATAATATATATATATAAATATATATACAAATATAAATATAAACAATTATCCAACTTGTGTGCTGTGATTCTTAGTCCTGTTGTGCATTTATTATTTTAGAGAAACTGGTGGCTTCAGTTTCTTTATTGTAGGTTCTATACACCTACAATAGTATATAAAAGATCTTCTCAGAGGATTATACGGTATATAATATATATATATAGTCCTTTTGGTGAAAAAATGCTTTTAATCATAGTTGTGGTCAGAGGTTTACACGCACTCATCCCATCATGGCCATGAATGTTATGGTAACTCGTGGCTTTTTTTTTTTAAACTGTTCTTTTTTCAGAGCATACAGCTTTCATGACCAGCTTTAAGAAGTGGGTGCACACTGGTTCTACACAAGCTACACCCACTTTAGAGGGAGGTTATTTTATCTACTTTATATTTTGCTGCTTGTGAATAACCCATTTTACAAGTTGATTGTCACATCTTGACCTGTAATGTATAGCTGGTAAATATAGTAGTATACAATAAGAGCTGCTGAACAAAAGTGCTCATGTCACATTGTTACACAGTGTTAGCTTAGTTTTATATGTGTTATAAGCCAAATTGTATAAAATGTATCAATTTACTTTCAGTAAATGGAAACATTCAGAAGATACACATCTGTACACAGCTGTCCAAAGTAAAATGCACACAGGTAACCCTATTATGTAATCTAGTTATTTGGGATTTGAGCGCATTTGGTACTTGCACTGGTTACCTCACATAGTATATCACAATAGGTCCTGAAATTTGTTTCTCCTTTTATTATGTCTGTTATTTTGCAGGACATTTCTCGTTTGTGTTTCATCATTTCCTGATGGTCTTGGGGAGTATATCATAGCTGGCTCTTTTGATGTCAGTGTCAAATACTACCCTGTCCACCATAATGTTTATGAATTTCAGTCTAAGCGTGCATGGTGCCCACTAAAGTCCTGAGTTGTTATGAGGATACGTGCGTAGACCTACATTTTTTAAGTTTGGCACTCAGTGATGATCTCACTCTGTGCTTAAAGTTTAAGCTATTAACCTTTACAACTATTAGCACTTACAGACAATTTAGAATTGCCAATTAACCCAGTGTATCTAAAAATAGGGGTCAAGTTCTCCTGGGAGGACAAAGCCACTTCAGCTAAAACAATGAATGACCAGGGTGGTAATGCAGCGAGTTTAAGTTGAACTAATGATTCATGTATAAACACAATTTGCAGGTGAGATTGTGCTTTTACTTTAGTTTGATTCTTGAAACCTAAATGCTTCCCCTTGTTAATGATTAATGAAGACAATGGGCTGCAGGGGCTCAAGGTTTGGAAACAACCGAACTGATCTTATGCAGTGCTTTGTAGGAAAAAAAAAAACAATGCAAAAAATGTAAACAATGCTCCAAACCAACATAATAAATTCAATGTTTATTTCCACATTCTTATCCAGGTTTCGTCACGGTCTGTACATCTGTTATTCCAGTAACAGAGGATGGCGTCCCTCAAAGTGCCATCCAGTCAGAATGCATTGATATCACAACTAGCATGTTGTCATTAGCAGTTTAGCTCATTCATTTGGCCTTGATCAGAAAGACTTCTTTTGTAAACATGGACATTGAGAGAAAATCCTGATAGAATATAGAAAGGCCAACATCTTGAAACATTTTTCGATTAAACTGTAAAAAACAGGCAGGCATAAACAAACAGAACACAAGCTCATGTTGAACCATTCTAGGACGAGTGCAGTTTCAGGACATGCAGTGTTTTTACCTAATCCACACTGAGAGAGCGCTGCTGCCAAAGAACAGCGCCGCGTCAGAGTCCACAGAACGTCCTTTCAACTAGTAAGTGAAGTTGTAGGACAAACAGGGTCACAGCAATTTCAAAGAGCAACCTCTGAGAATACCCAGTATTCATATTCTGAGAGAAAGAGACGACACCTGAAGCCTTTGTTGAGAACACTGATCTGCCCTTGGTAGAGTGTATAATGAGAAGGATGGCAGTGAAACCCTGTTGCTTTTTGTGCTGAACTAGGAAGAGGAAACATCTCTCAAAAAAAGACAAAAATGTCTCTACTAAAAGTCCCAAAACTGCCTAAAACTTCTGTTTGCATGACAGGTCTACAAATGATTCTTATGGGCTGGGGTGCCGTATCCAGGCCCTGAGCCCTCTGAGTTAAACTGCCTGAGTAGCTGAACTGTTTGCTTTGAAGTCTGTTTAAAATTGAGGTCGCATTCTGCATAGTTTCAGTGAAAAGTGAATTAATTTCCTTTAATAAATAACATCTGTTGCATAGAGGTTTGATGCACTCCTAGAAAAAAGCCTCTGAGGATAAAACCAAAACTCCCTTTAATTTTTTTGTCTTTTGTTTTTTCTTCATTAAACCTGCTGGAACTAACAGCCAGGTGGGTTGCGGCTCGTCTAGGAGTGACTCAAACAGAACCGCTGCTCGTTCTTCTTTAAAGAGTACTTCTGAAACTGCTCATTTGACACTGTTAAATGTTTCCATCTGGATAAGCAAAGACAAGAAGTGGAGGTAACAGGCAGGAAATTAAACAAGGGTTATCCAACCATGGCCTCTAATTTTAACATTTTGTAAATCAACAAAACACCTCAAAACACTTTTACAAGAAAAAAAAATACAGATATATATATATATATTCACATCATATTGCATAAATATGTGCTGGAATGAGGTTAATGAATCTCCTGGTATGGGCTGTATGTGCCGTGAAGTTAGCCCCAGTGCTCAGTAACAGATGAAGGAAACAAACAAAAAAAGTGTTTAGAACAATTTCCACTTGTCATGTGACTCCATAAAAGTGACTTGCAGATATAAAACATAATTTAAGTGGTACTGTTTACACATCTTGAAGGTACTGCAGCCTTACAATACATGTGGATGCTACACAAATTGCACAAAGCAGAGGTTGCATTATCTATGTACGATTTCCCGTATGACGGTAAAAACCCACGGTGTCGGAACCCGCTCATGAGGAAAACAAATGCATCTTTTAGGGCAGAATTCAAGTAATGCGACAAATTCTGAGGTCAACGGGTAACATGTTGTGTACTGTTTCTTTGCAACCACTTACAGGAATAGAATATTCCTCAATGCAATGAGCCCAAACATATAAGAGGTAACTAATGTATTTTACAGTACAATAACAGCAGCACAGACTTTATGACTTTACTTTTTTGTTGTTTTTTAAGAGCCAGAGAAAACCTCTGTAAAAGAAAGTCAAAATATAAATGACATTGGCAAAAATGTTCGGAGCGTAAAGACGCGAGAGTCGTATCTTGGCAAAGAGAATGTACAAAAAATGTACTGCATTGAGATGTAAAACTCAGAAATAAGAGGAATGTAGCTCAACACTGAACACGTTCAATAGGACATTCATTCAAACTTTATGTCAGAATCTATAACGCCTCTTGTTTTTAAAATCACTTGTGAATGTGTGTGTCCTATTAAAGTGCCTGAATGATCAATACAAACATAACAATGTAAAGCAAACAAACAAAAATGACCTGCATCCTCGGTAGTAGTGTACAGTACATATAGAGCTTTGGAAGCTTGGAGTTGGAACGCAGTAAGCCACAGGACAGAGGGCGCGTCCACGGCGCCAGCTGAGGTAGTAGTTTGACTGAACACGAACTTCCCAGGGACCCATGGTAGCAGCTTGAAGAGAGGTGTAGCTACCTGGAAATCAGAGTCACTGGGCTGGCGGAGTGGACCAGAAAGGAGAGGGGACTGTGGCTACAAAGTCCCCTCTCCTGTCACTGAAGGTCCATGTGCAAATGATTTTTTTTTTGTCCCCTCAAAGGAAGTGTAACTGCTCCTATGAGTATGAACTGTGTTAAATCTGCTAGTCCACTGACGCAACAGATAAAATCTCTTTACAACATGCTCTTATGTCATCATCCATACAATAAGAAACATTCTCATCCCTGTTCCCAAGGTTTTCTAGGCTGTTTAAAAAAAGACGTTGAAGAAGTTTTTGTTGTATTTAACAAAGCAGCTTGTGTGCGAAGCTGTTCGACGCAGATCGAGCTGAGAGGAAACCAGCTAGGAATGGTTCTCTGTGAACAGGCAGCCTGATGGCGCAGTGCAGAGGTTAATGATGCTGCGAGAAGCCAACTGGATTCTGCCCTCACCCGATTGGCCTGGACCCACTAGGGCAGCTTCATGAATAGACCATTATCAATGGAGGGGACAGGCATAGGGCAGGGAAACTGGAAGAGACTCATGTCTGCTGTGAGGGCAGCCATGGCTGCAGGATCGTGCTCTATCTGTGTCCTCAGAGCAGGGTCAATCTTGTCCAGCCGTCGCTTGATCCTCTTTGCCTCCCTCTCGCGGATCAGCCTGGCCTGCCTCTTCTCTGGTGTCTCGTTGGCCCTCTTTAATCGCATGGCCTCCCTGTCCCTCTGCAGCCTGCGTGCCCGCTGCTCCTCCGTTTCCTGCATCCTCTGCATGCGCTTGGCCTCGCGGTCCCGCAGCCGCCTCAGCTCCCTCTCTTCTTCTGTCTCACACGCCCGCTTGTTCTTCTTTGCCGTGCGCTCACGCTCCAGACGCTGCAGTCGGGCCTCTAAGGGCTCGTTCTTCCGACGCAGAGCCCATTTTCGCATCGGTGACTGGGCCGCCACTAGCTGCTGATAAGCCACACAGCTGTTGCACACCAGCAGCACTCCGGCAGGATACACTGGCATAGGGCTCAGGATATCAGGGATAGGAGGAAGGCCTGAAGAGGAGGAGTTGAGTGCATCAGGGATTGAGGCGAGGGATGGCCCTTCAGAGAGGAGACTATCGGGCAGTGAGGGAAATGCGGGTCCCTGGTCTGTGCACGGTCCTGATCCTGGCCCAGGGCCATGACATGGTCTGGGGCCTTGACACTGGCTTGAGATATGACCCTGCCCCTGGCAGGAACGTTGGGCTTGACATAGGTTGGGATTGGGGTTAGTTGCTTGACACAGGCAAGGACCCTGACACGAACTGGGACTGGGGCCCGGTCCATGGCAAGAGTCAGTGCAGGGGCCCGGGCTGCTCATGGGGCTGCTCGAGAGGGACTGGGACATGGAACTGGTGTCCCTTCCCCCAGTAAAATCCATCCTAGTTGTGTCGAGGACTTCTTTAAGCTTCTCCCTACGACAGGATACATGAATCAGGTAAACAGCCTTTTTTTTCTTTTTTTTTTAAGTGGTCTGGACTCTTCCAGGGAAGCATTAGATCCCTGATAGAAAGCTTGCTCCTGTCTAAATCTTTAATGTGGGGATCATAGAGCCTTTCACTTGAGGTCTCCTAGACGAGATTTGTTTCCTGTTAAAAATAAACGTATTCATTTTATACTGCGTCTAAGTAAAATGCTTTTAGCTCTCTCACCGTCACTATAAACTAACTTTCATCTGAGTTTTGAACAGCTAGGTGGGGTTTCTGTGCACACAGCCACAGCGTGCCTGAGATCACGATATCTGTGATATACTCTCTCGCTTACGTTACACAGAGACAAGAGCAGGAGGAAAAAAACACTAAACTATCTGAAACTAAGTGTTCAGAGCAGTCTGAAATCCGAGATTTCACCCCGCAGGGATTTTTTTCCACCAGCCTGCAACAAAGGCTTCATACATCAGACTGACAGGCATTGTTTTTGCCTTGAATTTTTGTTAGCCTGGCTCGTATGGTCACATATTTTAGGCAACAGTAAAATTTAGCTTCTGTCAAGCTGCGATGAGTTACAGGACTTGAAACCACTTTGCTGCAATGGGAAGAGATGGCTGATTCCATGTTAGTCGTTTCCCAAACTTTTTTGCTTCAGAGAGGAATAAGGGCCATGCGTCAAATGAACTCTGGCTAGCTCTCTGGAGAGAAGTTTAACAGGCTGTTAACAGCCTCAGAGGAGGTGACTGTTCAGAAAACACTGGTTGCCAGATGCTGGTTATGTTACTTTATTGTAGCTGGCTGGAACAACATGAAACAGCTTTTCCACGTACATCTAAGATACACCTTTTTTTTGTCTCTCTTTAGAATAACAAGTATTTATGTTTTATTTTTCCAAACTTAGCAGCAAATGCTTCTGCCAACTGTAATGCTTCATGACTTTTCTCTTCTCTCCTTTTCATCACTTCACACTGCTTCTCCTTCTACAATGCGTCCTGACCTTGTCAGTGCTGTTTAAATTAGAAATGTAATGGTAGTTGCTAAGCAACACGCAAGTTTATTTCCATTAAATCTGTCATTGCAGTACTAATTTTATTCATCCCTCATGCTCTGCATTCTGTCTAATCCCACACTTGGAAAACCATTGCTCTTTCTCATTCTATTATAATGTATTAAAGAGAAAATGTGACTTCTTTTTACTCAATTTATATTTTCAAAGGTTCGACAAAAGAAAAGGTTTGTCTTTAAAAAAAAAAAAAAAAAAGTAGCATGCAGTTTTTTATGTTTCTACATTACACTCCTGCCAGAATCAATTTTTAGATACTAGAAAAATTAAAAGGCCTCATTTTAAATAGCTCATCCTTCTGAATCAGTGGTGTCTTTTCACCTTGTCATAAAGGGACCACATATGAGATATTGTTTTAAAAATTTTTAAGATAAATGACATAATTAAATAATAAGCACTAAATAAACACAGAAACTTCAGGACCCGGTTAGTATAATTTTATCACAACATCTATATTCAATCTGCATTTAAGACCTGAGATGAGAGCTACAGCAGAGATGAGCTCAACCTGTTAAAGTTGTTGGTGTCTGTGAAGCGTGCACCACAGACAGCGCAGTTGGAGAGGCGGTCCTCGGAGTGGATGAGAAGATGGCGTCCAAGTGAGCCGGGCGAACTCAGGGCTCGCCCACACACTGGGCACACATAGCTCTTGGTGTTGCTCATCATAGTCGTGTGCTGTTACAAGACAGCAAACAGAGATGAGAAAAGCAGCAAACTTAAAAGATATAATAACTTTGTATTGCAGGCGATTATCAGTTTGCAATATGTTTGCAAAAGAAAAAAATAACAAAGGAAATATACATTTAAAATATTATGAAAAAGTAAAATTAGAATATTTAAATTCATGTCTGCAACAGTTATAATTGATGCTGTGGTTGTTATGCATGGTAGTATAAATGCAAACAGCATACAGAGTTTAAAAAACAAAACTATGCAGCTATATGACAAAGTAGACAGATTGCAGAGCAGATAGGCTGCTGCCACACGGCTTTGAAAATTGCATTTCTTTTTTTGGTTCTGTACTAGATCGGGGCAGTTGAGACGATGTTATTCTCACCTGGTAGACATGGGAGATGAGCTTATCTGGGCTGCTGAAATCCAGCGGGCAGAGAGGACAAACAAAGTTGTTGCTGTGCTCTCCCCCTTCCTCGCTCTCCTGAGGAAAGTCAAAAACCATTTAAACTCGTTTCAGAAGCACATTAACACCACATTCAAATGATTTTACACCTACATCTTACAGTTGTAAATCACAAATCTGAATTCTGAGTTATTTATTAAATTAAAATTTCCAATTTGTATGATGGCAGTTAAAACGTAAAAGAGGCCTTGTTTTGGTCTGAAACATTTTCACAAGTGGATGAAGACGTGTTGAGTGTATGACTGAGCAAAATTCCCACAAGTCCCGGTGACTCACTGACAGTGACATCACACTGTGTGCTGAGACAGATGTGACTCACAGAACATTTTCAAACAGAAGGTGCAGGCAGAAAACATATTGGTTGGACCTGGGGGTGTCTAATAACTCAAAGGGCACTTTTGAATAAAAATATTGGGCCAGACCTCTTCATCTTTGAATCCAGGTGTTCTCGAACCATTGCACAGGTCTAAAAAAATCAAACAGCCATATGGTCTGCCTTTACAAACATTTGTGAAAAAATGGTTTGCTCTCTGAATTCATGTGTGTTGCTGTAAAATGACGCCAGCGTTGCGAGGACAAGTCAGTTCATGAAATTTCTTCCCTCACAAACAGTCATGATCAGCTGTAAGCTGTATTATTGCAAAGTGGAAGCTTTTAGGAACCACAGCAACTCATCTGTGAATGTGACAGTTCATGTAAAGTTACAGAGCAGTGCATAAAATTCACCAACGCTCTGCTGATTCAGTAACTGGATGTGGTTTCATGGCATGGGTTTCCATGGCTCCTGTAGATGTACTAAGTAGGTAGCCCACTACTTTTTTTTCCCACTTTTACTATATTAGTGATGTCTTTTAACTGATTATTTATCATTTTCACTTTTATCTTTTCAAAGTAATAAAACAACAATGTCAAAAGTTTATTATGTTAATTGTTATTTTGCATACAAATAGAAAGATTTTGGTGAAATATCACTACTTCCTTTCCGGTTATCTCAGGAGAAATATCTGCAATATTCTCTAGCACAGCACATTAGCTTTAAATTCACAGATGCATGAACCTAATTAAACATCATAAAACTGGAGCAGATGACAGGGTGGGCATCTAGATGCAAATTACGGTTCACATTGACTTGTTTTTCATGCACGACTGATGGATGAGAGTTGATAAATTCTTTTCACGCCTACCAACTCGTTTATAAACCACATATTTCATAATCAAACAGATGCAGGGCAGATACTTGTCCTCATTTTTTTTTTAAATCTCTGTCGTGTTTTGTTTGTGTGTTTATTCCACACCACAACGTTACCAGTATGGTCTCTTCTAGTGTAATGCATAAGTTGTGTTCAAACTAATTGATGATGTGCTAAGAAGTTGTTTTCAAAGACGTACACAGTGAGAAATAGATAAAATTATTTTCCCAGTTATGAGAACCTTACCACAACCTTTGTGCGTGTTCCTTTTTTGTATTTGTTAGAATGAAATAAACATTATTGCCATTCAAAGCACCATCATAACAAACACTGGAGTGAAGGTGTCTAAATTAGCAGCCCTCTCACCTCTTTGACTCCTGCTCCTTGTAGGAGACACTGTGTTCTCTTGGTGGTCATGTGGTCGTCAGCAGAGGTGTTGGAGGACGAGTCTTCGCCGTGGTTTTCTGGGTCACTATCGCTGTCTTCTATGGAGGCAAACACAGCCCTATCAATACGGACAGACAACAAAACACAGGGCAGGGCTTATTCTCACTAACACCCCTCATTCCAAGGACATTCCTACAGAGTCCAACAGTCCTTCCCTGACCCTTCCCTCCATCCTGTACCTGAGAAGCTATCCTGCCCTTGGACTTCCTGGGAGTTGTTGCTGCAGCATTCACTGTCCTCTGTGAATTCGTCTCTGCCATCCATGTTAATAGTGTGCTGGAGTCCTGTGATGGTTGAAGTGTGGAATGGCCCTGGAGTTAGAAAGACAGTAGAAGGACCGTCGGTAAGATTCTTGAAAAGTTGACTTTCTCACTTGTGGTACATGTAGAAAAAGCCAACAAGCTCTTTCAAACTAGGCTTCAAGACAAGACTGGAGTTGACCTTCTCATAGTCTTGAGACACAACCATAAGACCCGTCATGCCAGTATTAACAACATGTTGGAAATGGACACCAACAGAAACTGTACTACAGGCTAAATCAGCACTCCATCCTTCTAAGATTGGGAGCTACATTCAGCAAAGAAGAGTAGGAGTGGGCCTGTTTCCAGATAGACCCTTGTGGAACAAAGGAAAATGGCGAAAGCTGGTAGTTTTAGAACTCCAGTGGCAGGAGGTGGCTCCAAATTTGCTAATCTTAGAAGCCCAACAGCAAAAGTGGATGAAGTGGGAAATATTGAATAAAGGGACAATCAACTGGAAACGCACTCAGGCACATCATGACTTTAATTAAAGTGAGCCTTTGTCAAGGCAGGTATACTTAGAGACACAACCAGGTGCTGAAGTCTCTGTCTATCAATGCCAAAAGAGCAGCACCACTGCCACTTCAAGAACAATGACAAAAATACCCTCCATCACTGACCAGGAAGACTTTTGAAGGAGGTTGTTACTAGAAAATGTTCTTTGATACAGGTCAACAGCTTATAATCCCATCAGAAATAGTTGCTTCTGCCCAAAGACCAGATCTGGTACTTTGGTCCACCACTCTCTGTATTGTCTACTTTATAGAACTAAAAGTACCATGGGAAAAAGCTGTGACACACTCAGCTGAAATCAGATGCAGAGCATTGAGGCTGGATAGCAACAGTTTAGCATTCCATAGTTAAACTTATTAAACACTTGGTTATTAAACACTTGGAGATGCACAGCCAAACCCTATGCCACCACCTTCAAGGTGATTCCAGGGATTGCTTAGTGGCTGTGGATGAGGAGGAAAGACCCCAGCTGTGCGCCAAGATGTTAGGGACAAACACCCAGATCTGATTCGCCTGTGGTGGACCTGCCCCGGTACAGGGTGTACAGGGAGTGCAGAATTATTAGGCAAATGAGTATTTTGTCCACATCATCCTCTTCATGCATGTTGTCTTACTCCAAGCTGTATAGGCTCGAAAGCCTAC